TGAAAATCACAGTGAGAAGCACGCAAGCGCCTCTAGTGGCTGTCAATGAGACAGCTACTAGAGGCTTTGGGGGAAGGCTTAACCCATTAATAAACATAGCAGTTTCTCTGAAACTGCTATGTTTATAAAAAAAATGGGTTAACCCTAGAAGGACCTGGCACCCAGACCACTTCATTAAGCTGAAGTGGTCTGGGTGCCTAGAGTGGTCCTTTAATCTGGGATTTGTCAAGCTTTTACTTGAGGCGATACAATTTATATTAACCCACAATTTCTTTATGTTCAATGATGAATTCTTCCTGCAGACCAAGGGTACTGCCATGGGCACTAGGTTTGCCCCCAGTTATGCTAATATTTTTATGGATTTTTGGGAGCGCCAGTTCATTTGGGACCATAATCCATACGGGGCATACCTGTTGCTCTGTAGTCATTATATTGACGATATTCTTTTTATTTGGAAGGGGTCTGAAGAACATCTGTTAAATTTCTTTAAGTATTACCCATACATCCTCAAATAGTGTATAGAAAAGGGAAAAGTTTTTCTTCTTATTTAGCACCTAGTCACTTTCGAAGTAAGGACAAGAATGAATTGGAAGGTAGTAGAGGATTCTATACTTGTGGAACATGCAAAGCGTGTAGGGGGCTACCGCCCCACACGCACTCTTTTTCAAGTTTTAATACCAAAGAAACCTTTCAAATCCAAAGACGGCTGACCTGTTCTTCCTCACATGTTGTGTACCTCCTCACATGTAGGTGTGGTGCACAGCATGTGGGGAGGACGGGGAGAAAGGCAAAGATACGCTTTTTAGAACACAAAAATAATATCAGACGAAATCTTAAGAATCACTCTATTCCAATTCATTGCACCCAGTGTCCTCAATTTCAAATTCACAATTTTTCATGGGTGATTATAGAATGGCTCTGTATAAGGGGAGGAGACATCACTATGAGATTGAGTCAAAGAGAAGGATTCTGGATTCATAAATTAAAAACTCTTCAACCTTATGGGTTGAATGTAGATTTTGATTTAATATGTTTTCTTAAATTTTTACACATTATATATTTATTTTCATTTTTTATTTGTATTTTTATATTTACTTTTATTTTTAATTTTCATATTTAATTTTATTTTTTCTTTTAAATTTCTTTATTTCTTTATAATTTTTTACCTTTTATTATTATTTTCTTATTATTATTTTCTTTACTATATACATTTACTGTTCATATTACTGTTCATATTTTATTTATTTATATGTATTCCAGGATCGTTCCCTTTAAAGACTTAATGTATGTTATTCCACACTTTGATGTTATTCCACACTTTGTATTCTTTATTTAGTCACCTTTTGGCGATAGTGGAGCGTGATATTTATTAATATGTTCCATCCATTGAATGTATATGGTTCTGTATATCAAGTTAGAGTTAATAATATTTTTATTCTATGTATTTGATATATGTTTGTATTTTCAATTTATTCCTCTCTTCCATTTTTCTTTTTACTGACCGATCCCCTCTGGGACTATGAGATGGTTAGGTGGAACGCATATGCGTTCCAGCTGCTAAGTGATGACGGAGGAAGAAGGAGTTTCTGTTTTCCAGACTGGTGGAACGCATATGCGTTCCACAGAGGCTCGGCAGAAGTCCTTATATGGACCTAGAATTTAGACTACACAGGACAGGTGACACCAAGCGTGCGGATTGGTTCATGAGAAGCTGAACCCGGTGAGAGGGACATTTAAAAGAAGACTGAACATATGAGACTTTTATTGTTATTTATTTGATTGCAATATTGTTTTTATTGAATTTCTCCTGATGAAGTCTATTGTTTAGACGAAATGCGTAGAGCTGTTTATATTGCTGCCTGCAATCCCTGTAACCTGCTGTTTCCATTCATCATCTTGGAAAGAGGGACCAAATATTTGATGGGCATTTTTATTTCTCACTTTTTGTAAGTGTTTCCAATAAATTGTGCTTTTTATAATATCAACAATTCTATACTATGTTCAGTTTTTCTTTGTTCATGTATACTTGAGGAACAAGGAATTCCTTTACAAGATTTAAAGAAACCTTGATGGGCTCGAATCTCTTTGTCATATTGTGAGTGCAATATTTTAGTAGGGACCACTCTGCTTAACGGTGTTTCCCTATGATTGTCTCCTTTTTTCTTTCTGTTTTTATCTAGGTGTATCCTATATTTTGTAGGCTCAGGAACAAGTATTATAAATCCAGAAGGTAATATTTCCAGCAGGCAAAACACTCCATCAATATCCCAATTTCAATCCCGATGACTGGACGACACGCAGCATCAGGAGCAGAACTGAAATTTTAATCACATTGTTTCCTTATAAAGGTTTCTCCCATGCAAGGGAGGGATTTACAATCCTCCCATACATCTCCTCCCCTCAGTGTGACACTTAATCCACTTATCTCTGTTACAGTTTTACCCGGTTTCTGGATGTACCCTAAAACTGTGGTGTACCAGGGTCTAAGTGGTACCCCCTGGTAGCCCTGATCTGGGTGGCTAACATACTCAAAATTCACCCAGATCGGACCAGGGGTTCGGGAGTTATGGGGAATAAACAATTTGACCGACCGCACACAAGGTGGTAGCCAAAAAGGGTTCCATGTGTTTTGGCCCTGCGGTCGGTATCCGTTCGGGAGGTAAAACATACATAAATCTTTGCCATCCACTATTAACAACGCGTTCGTAAGAATCCCCTTGTTCGGTACGTTGAATTCACCGAACGAGGGGCTAATTGGCCCCTCCGTTCAGGAGTTATGGAGCTCTGGAGGTCTCAGCGGTGTTCAGGTAATCGAGTGTCACTCGACGACCAAACACCGCTGAGAGTTCGTGCGTAAGATGGCCGCCGCCACGTGTTCGCTTACCGTATGGCGGCCACCCAGATATAGCAATAAAGTACTGATTGACTGCGGTTAGAGAAGTGTGAAAGCCTAATGAGGTACACACTTCTCCCTGGGGTGGTCTATTGATTCGATATTTTTCATTCGTATGAAATACGGATGTAAACTACCACACAAACATACGAATCCTACATACAATTTTAATTACACAGGAAAATAAACACACAAATTGTCTTTGAAGCAATACCCTGGAGGACAGTCCAGTGCCATCCGCTACAATGATCTCAACCAAAGTGAAGAACACATTCATAGGACTTTTGTCATTTGTTTTTTACAGCTGTGCAACAGCATACATTCACCATTTCAGTCCCATTACCAAACTTTTCTTAATATGTCAAAGTAATTATATTCAAATACTTTTTATTGAAAGATTTTGCAGATTTTACAAGTAATAAAAAAATTATATATTAGGGGAGTAATTCTACTGAAACATTGGTTATATGCACATCTCCTTAAAATAAATGTGTTCTTTTGTTTACTTTGAAGCCCTACGAGCGTGAGGACGTCCAGTACTGTACTTTTCTAAATAAACTTAAATTTTTCATGAAACCTGAAGATTTAGGTTTTTTGCAGTCCACATAAACTTAAACCTTATTTATTTGGCCTGTGTTTGCTTTTCAGTTTGACATGCTTGCCTTATATGTTATTGATCAATGTGTTTGCAGCTTGTGTTTTGTGCATATAATGGATGTGATTAGAATTAGATGAATCATGGTATTAGCTTATTCTCACATAACGCATATTGTTAAAGGACCACTATAGTGCCAGGAAAACATACTCATTTTCCTGGCACTACAGTGCCCTGAGGGTGCCCCCCCTCCCACCCGGCTCTGGGGAGAGGAAAGGGTTAAAACTTACTTTTTTTCCAGCACCGGGCGGGGAGCTCCTCTCCTCCTCCTCTCCTCCCTTTTGGCTGAATGAGACTGAAACTGCTATGTTTATAAAAAAAAAAAAGGGTTAATCCTAGAGGGACCTGGCACCTAGACCACTTCATTAAGCTGAAGTGGTCTGGGTGCCTAGAGTGGTTCTTTAAGATTATATATTTTATTTGCACTCTATTGAGCTAGCTGCATTTGTAGTCTGATACACTTTATTTTCACAAGGTATGGTTGGTTTATATTGGATAGATAGTTCTAGTTTGGATTGGGGGCTTTAGGCAATACATTTGAATTATATAATATTGGTGGCACTATTATGTAATGTCTATATGTATAATTAGGCAGTTAAAGGGATTATATTTCATAGATATTAGAGGTAATATGGCATTAGGTAAGGACTGCTAAAGTTTACAACAAGAGTACATTTTTTTTATTTCTAGTATATTTGTATGAATCGCTACTGTATTTCTGATCAGAGGCCAACTGTATTTCATTGTCTTTGTATGTACACTGTACAGTAATAACAAAGATTAATCTCAATCTGTCCTCTCACAATTGTAAATAACCTTAAAAAGTGCGTGTTGTGAGGGCCATTACGCACCTCATCTCACAATAAATGCGCTGCCTCTTCCCCATACATTACCACGTCTCATGTCAAACTGACACACTTTGCCTAATTGACTATGTGTGAGTGTGACATCAGTATGTCAATCCACACTTTTTATACTCTCTCCATTATTTAGTTCCAAAACATTTAACTCTTCATTGTTCATACCCTGCCCACAAAACAGAAAATTAAAATGAGAAATCTAGCAGTTATATTCTACAAAACCATGTCCTATAATACAATATATCTGGCACATATCTTATATCTTATAAAAAAAATTTTTTAAAAGCCCTGTCTTGTAATGCACAATCTAGAAATTGTGGGTAAGATAAAAATGTTTAGCAAAAAGCACTTTAAGAGATTTGAAGGTGGCTAATTATTAAACAATGATGAGTTAAACAGTATTGACCTTAAAAACTGAAGCGAGGGGGCGTGGCCTAACCTCGGATGAAGATGGACGCCTGATCCTAACGCTCCGATCCCCCCACGCGCTAAATCCCCTGCCATCTGCATCCCTCACGCCTCGAAACAGCCTGCCCTCACACCAGCGGCAACCCCAACACAGCCGGCACCCGCCCTGAACCGAAAGAAAGGAATGGGCGGCAACAAGGAACGGAGGGACACAAACCCATCGGTGGCCTCCATATTCCGCACGCCATCAGACCAACGGAGAGCAACCTCCTCACAGGCAGAAGAGGAATCTGGGTCAGATGCCGAAAGCCTGGACGCAACGGCGAATCCGGCGGCCCCCATAACCATCGGGGTACTGTGGGACATGCTGCACCAAGTGACCAACGACATTAAGGCCCATGTAGCCACTGAGATAGAACGGCATGTGGGAGGCCTTAAAGCGGAAGTAGTAGGCCTCACCGCCCGCACAAACCAGGTAGAAAACCGGATTGCCTCCATATATGCCACCTCCACATCTCACACTCAGGACATAGCATATCTATATGGCCACATGGCTGCACTAGAAGATGGCCTAGAAGACCTAAACAATAGGTCCAGACGTAATAACATACGAATCCGCGGCCTACCCGAAACCGTCACCATGGAACAACTCGTCCCCACACTTCACAGCATTTTCAAAACACTGGCCCCTGACCTCACACCTCGAGAGATGGAATTAGACAGGGCCCATAGAGCCCTCCGCCCGCAAAATCTGGGCGCCTCCACCCCAAGGGATGTGATTACCCGCCTACACTTCTTCACAACTAAAGAGAAATTACTGACCATAGCGCGGGACAAACCCCCACGCTATAAGGAAACCCGTCTAACTTTCTTCCAAGACCTAGCCCCCTCCCCACTCAAAAAAAGAAGAGACCTCAAACCTCTGACACTTGCCCTCCAGCAACAAGGCATCAAATATACCTGGGGACACCCCTTCAAACTCATGATTAAAAAAGAAGACCAAATGCACATCCTCACCTCAGTGTCGGACATGACACCCTTCGCGGAATCCCTGGGGATACAGCTACTGCAACTGGCCCCCTTCCACAAAAACAGAGAAGATGGGTGACCACAAGACGACCCTGATGACTCTAGGCCGCCCAAGAAATTGAGAATACCCGCCAGCTCAGGGGAACCCCCTCTGCAACGCCGAGACAGCCGCCACTAACCCTAGTGGGTCCAACCGCCTGCCACCTGGAATCCCTCACACCACCGACCCGCAGGAAATATCCAAGTGCAGTAAGCAGCCCCCCCTCAACCGACAAAACACCCCTCACTTTTCTCGCAATATGCCATCTTCTCCCCCCACCTCCAACCCAACCCCAGGACGAAATATTTTGACCCACGAACTGGCCCAGACCCTGGACACTCAGGCCACTGGACACGAACAACCACCACACTCAACTCAAGGCCCAAGCAACCGGGGCATCCAGGATGAGACCTGAGCAAAGCCTACCAACCAGTACAAGACCCCCCACTCAACTCCAGGCACAGATCCAGGTCACCACCACGCCGGAACAGCAGAGCACGGACAATGCATCTTCTCACACCTCGCCTGACACCACATCCAACATCATATCTGACCTGCTACCCAAGAACTATTCACAACCTGAACTGGGGACTCTCCAGCTGATTACTGGACTTACAATCTAACCATCTCTTACTTTGCAGGTACCCCCCCACAACGGCCCACGACTAGTTGACCAGCCCCCGCCCTGACCCCTGACCCCACCCCATGAACCCCCTTAGAACGCACTGGTACCCACCCCCCCCCGGGACCCAGGATGAACTCCATGGGCTAACCCAACCAGACAGTATCACCTTCCCCATACCTACTCGAACCCTAAAACCCATACAGGACAGACCATGACAACACCATTAGACACCCATAAAATCGTAAAAGAGGACACCCCACGACTGACCCGGGGGAAGCTCCCCTAGCCTACCCCCCCAACGTAAACGCAAGACCACAAATTCACTAACACAGACTCCCACGGACCAGGTCAGGACATCCCCAGACACCCCCCCCAACCCAAGCAAGACGGACGGGTAAACCCATTCAAACCAGACCCGTCACTGGCATGGAACTGGTTTATAGTTTACTGTTCACACAAATGGTATGCATGTGATAGCTCCGGATCTGAGTACACACTTCTGGAAGAAATGTTTTAAATGCTGTGTTTTTGTTATTATGTTTTCTATTCTGTTACCTAATGTTTTCTACTACTTATGATAGAAACCGACAACACGACCCTTGAAACAACACTCACAGGACTACAGACGAGGACAACAAGGGACACACTCCAAACACCAACGGAGGGACCACGACCGGCACCTTACACTACAGATAGACACCACCGCACCGCCAAATCGTGAGTGCTGCACCACAACTAGCGCGGGGGGGAGAGGAGTAACAGGAACGTGAAACTCTTCCTCCTCTTCCCCACCCCCGAACCCCGGGCATCCCGGGCGACACCAACCACACGACCGACCCAAGGCGTAAAACACCGCCTCCACCCACTTTACCTGGCAACTACCACATAAGACCAGGATAGACACTCTGCAACCCAAACCCCCCGAATTCTATAAACCTCACCCATCCCCCTATCCCACCACCCACTCTCCACCGGAGCCCCCCCAGTAGGAGCGGACGGACGCCCCGAGACCCCCTGGACCCGAAGCCCACACCACACTAGAGAATGCCTACTAACGAACCACCACCACATCCACACACAACCAGGCCAGACACAATCTCCTGCATATCCATTAACTGCAAGGGACTTAACAATCCAGCCAAGCGACATCGCACACTTCGCTGGGCCAATAGAATGAAGGCAGACATAATCCTCCTCCAGGAAACCCATTTTGAGACGAAAAAACCCTTTCCCCTCATCAACAAAAACTACAAACAATGCTACCTAGCAAACTCGCCACAGGGCAAACTGGGGTAGCCATCATGGTTCATAAACACTGCCCAATCACAATCCTAAAAAGCCTCCCAGATCCCCAAGGGAGATACTTGACAGTCACAGGACAATTTGCCAACCACAAGTACGCGATTACCACAGTCTACGCCCCAAACACACCCGAACCAACTTTCTGGACAGCACTAGACACACAACTAAAACTGTTCCCCTCACACCACACCATCCTAGGCGGAGACTTCAACGCAGTCCTAACCCCATCTATAGACAGGAAAAGCACAGAGGGAAACAAACCATGCAAGCCCCCCACCAGAAAAAATGACAAGCTCCTTCTGGAGTTTGCCACCCAAACAGGCCTCCAAGACATATGGAGACTCCAACACCACACAACCCCGGACTTCACCTTCTACTCGCACCCACACTCTTCTTACTCCAGGATAGACCTATTCCTAATATCCCCATCTCTAGTACCTCATACACAATCCACCTCGATAGGTTCAATCACCTGGTCTGATCACGCCGAAGTTTCCCTCAACATAGATAAACCTCACACAGCCAAAGCATGAACTTGGCGACTAAACCCCACACTCCTACATAACCCCCAAATCAGACAAAAAATCCAACAGGAGCTCACAAACTATTTCGAGGTCAATAAGGGATCAGTCCCATCCACGAACATACTGTGGGCAGCCCATAAAGCAACAATCAGAGGAACGATAATTAGTGCAGCCAGCGCCCACAGAAAACAAACACTCCGAGAATTGGAACAACACCTGACCTCCCTACGGACAATAGAAGCCAAACACAAACGCACCCCATCTCAACCATTGCTCGACCAAATTAAATCACACCAACACGTGATAAAGACCTATATGGCTAAAGACTCCCAAAAAGCACTACAATGGACCAAACAACTGTACTATGAGAAGTCCAACAAGGCAGACACCCTCCTTGCGCGCAGACTCCGACATAAAACTCTCCAAAAACACATAGACAAAATCACATCACCTGGAGGCAGAACCCACAATGACCCTGACCGCATAGCCTCCATATTCGTGGACTACTTCTCCAAACTATATGACCATAAACCCAACCACACCCTCACTCACCCGACATTAGGACAGGAAATTCACAATTTCCTGTCGGAAATCCCCCTCCCAGCACTAACAAACCAAGAACGAGACACCCTCGCGTCCCCAATCACTGAGGAGGAAATAGCCCTCACAATAAAGCACATCAAACCCAACAAATGTCCAGGACCGGACGGCTTCACGGGCCTCTATTATAAAACGTTCAGCGCCACATTGATACCCCATCTAACCGCACTCTGCAATTCTATACTGGAAGGAGACCAGGTACCACCAGAAATGCTCAAGGCCAACATATGCCTAATCCCCAAACCACACAAAACGCACCTAGACCCTGGACATTTCCGCCCAATATCCCTCCTCAACACAGACATCAAAATCCTCACGAAAACACTGGCCAACAGAATACAACGTCTCCTCCCAAAACTCGTACACCCAGACCAAGTAGGATTTATCCCCAACCGTCAAGCATGCGACAACACCAGACGCACGATAGACCTAATATGGAGAGCCCAACATAGGCACATCCCCACTCTCCTACTCTCGATGGACGCGGAAAAAGCGTTTGACCGCTTACTCTGGCCCTTCCTATTTGCCGCCCTACGAAAATTCCACTTCCCCGACGCCATCATCACGGCCCTCACAACACTGTACTCCAACCCCACGGCAACCCTCCTTCTCCCCAACACTGGTCCGCATGAATTCACAATAAGAAATGGAACCAGACAAGGCTGCCCGCTTTCCCCACTCCTGTTCGCCCTCTCCCTAGAACCCCTCCTCCAACTCATTCGCACATCCCCCGAAATCCTAGGCCTCAAAGTCCGACAGGAAGAATATAAGATCGCAGCGTATGCAGATGATATCCTCCTGACTCTCACGGACCCCACTAACTCCCTGTCCCCCCTGCTCACACTCCTCCAAAAATATGCCGGCGTCTCCGGCTACAAACTTAACCTAGAGAAAACAGAAGCCCTTCCCCTCAACTTCCCGCAACAACTCCTAACCCAAATAAAACACTCTCACCCATTCCGATACAACCAACAAAGTATCCACTACCTAGGCACACACATCCCAGCGAACCTCTCCGAAACATACTCACTCAACTACACCCCTCTGATCGAACGAGCCCAAATAGACCTACAAAGGTGGCAACCCATGCATATTTCCTGGCTAGGCAGGATCGCATCCATAAAAATGAACCTCCTGCCCAAATTCTTATATTTGTTCCGGACCCTACCCATCCCCATCTCTAGACTGGACTTTAAAGCCCTCCAATCAAAAATAGATAAATTCATTTGGGCCAACAAAAGACCACGGATTAAACGGATAACAATGTACAAAACAGTTAAGACCGGAGGCCTGGGCCTCCCCAATCTTATACAATATTATCAAGCAGCCCAACTAGCCCAAGTGCAACACCTGCACTCCCCCCTGGGAACAAAACTCTGGGTGGATCTGGAGCACGACCTCCTCGGCAGAGACCACCCTTCCCTCCTCTTTTGGCTCCCAAAAAGAGACAGACCGGCACTCCCCCCAACAACACCCTACATCATTACAAGTCTGGGACAGAACCAACGCACGAAACCCCCTCATAAACTCCCCCTCACCACTTACCCCAATCCTCAGAAATAAACGATTCCCCCCAGGCATGACACCACGAGATTACGCACATTATGAAGACAACGGACTAATCAGACTCAGAGATTTCTATAACAACCAACAACTAATACCATTCCCAGAACTCCCATGTACCACGCCACTGAATACCTTCGACCACTTTAGATATCTACAATTACGCAGCTTCCTAACAGAACCTCAGAATAGGAAAACAGCAACCACACAACTCACTCGATTCGAGACGAACTGCCTACAAGCCCCCACACACAAAGGACAAATCTCCCTGATATACTCTCTACTAAACTCCAACTCCCCAGCGGACACACTCACATACACAAAGGCATGGGAAAGAGACATAGGCCCACCGGAGGACCCAACAACCTGGGCAAGCATATGGGAAGCAACTGCCTCACTAACCATATGCGTGAACCACAAAGAACAGGCGTACAAAACCATGCTCAGATGGTACCTAACGCCTCTGAAACTCAAACAGATGGGCATCGCCCAAACAGACACGTGTTGGAAACAATGTGGACAACAAGGTACATACATACACAAGTGGTGGCACTGTCCATACAGCTCGCAACTCTGGACTGAGGTTGCCAACCTCACCTCCAGAATATTGCACGAAGACATACCCATGGACCCTTGGACGTGGCTACTCTCAAAACCCCTACCCAGACTACCAAGGGCACAAAACAAACTGGTGGCGAAAATAGCCCTCGCTACTAGACGCACCATAGCAGAGCAATGGGGTAACCATAACACACCCACACTGACAAAGATGATCCAAAAAACTAATGAAACCATGGAAAT